CCGATAGATGCAGTGTAGAGAAAACATGGCATATATATGCACAGTGGAATGTCATCCAGGCACCCAGAAGGATGTCAATCATTCGTGACAACCTGGGTGAATCTGAAGGGCATCACATTAAGTGAAATGAGCCTGGTGCAGAGACACAAGTGATGTGTGATCTCACGTTTGGAACCTGCAAAAACTGATCTCTTAAAAGCACAGAGAAGAGTGGTGACTAGCATCTGGGGATCAGAGAAATGGAGAGATAGTGAAGAGTGAAAAGTTTCAGTTATGCAGGATGAATAAATTCTGTAGCTCTAACACAGTGCAGTGATTGTACTTAATGCTGAGTTATATACTGGACATTTCATAGAGACACATCTCAAGTGTTTTCCCTGTCTGTGCACACAAAAGTGATGAAAATGTGCAGTGATAGACATATTCATTAACTAGATTATGGTAATTACTTCACAAAGTGTACATACATCAAAACATTATCCTGAGTACTATAAATATATACATTTGCAGTTTTCAATCATAATTCAATAAGACTGAGGGAAAAAATAACTAAGATAAAAGGTACCAGTTTTAATTACATTGAAAGTAATGTTACAATAGTATGAGCAATACTAGAGTGGCAGTGATTGTAGTAGTAGGGTTAAGAGTTTGGATTTATTGAATGATTTCTTTATGCCAGTCATTGCTGTAAGTGCTTGGTGTGTAATAACTTATTGAATCTTCATGTTAATTCAAACAAAAATCTACTACCATTGCCAAAATGAGCATAAACAGAAACAGGCTAGTGAATATTACACAGACGAAATTTGACGTATGATATTTTTATGTATGGTATTGTGCCAGTAGATACTCATTTTAAGACAATTACAATTCTTATTTATTTTTATCATCAAGGTCCCATGTGTGTTGGCATGCATTCTAAACTCAATTCGCTTCCAGTAATGTTCATTTATGAATGAAATTGTTTTGGGTGAAGGGATTCTTTTGAAGTTGGAAACACTGATGTCCAGAGGACACAAAGTTTGAGGGGTGTATTTTCCATCATGATGAACGCTGTCCCTATATTTAAAGATGGCGTCCCGCCTGCGTCCCATCGACATCTGAATCCATCACACCTGCAGACATCTGCACCAACAAACATAAAGCACATGCCAGACTATTGTGGACTTCGTATACCTTTTGTTTCTCTTCTACCTAGCGCGTTTGACCTGGAGGGGGATAAGCACATTTCTGCTCCTTAGGGGAACCTGAGAGTTCTCCTCACACTTGACATTCTGGCTAAATGTAGCTGTCCTGAGGAAGGTACGGCAAGAAAGCGGGGACATCAGGCTGAGCTGGCGCAGGCCCATGGCAGTATGTGGAAGAACTGGAAAGACTGGGGTGTTGCTGAGATTATTTGGGTATCTGTGCAGGGACTCGTGGGTCATTTCTACTCTACCTGCTTTCTTTCTTAGGTTATGACAATGGAAATGATAATCCAAACAAACTCATGGTTAAGGGGAAATTTAACTTTTGTGGGTTATATAAACCTTTCTTGGGGCAAATATGATCAGAATTTAAAAAGAAAAGACATCAACAATCATCCATATTTAAAGGTAAATTTCTCCATAGACCTCACAAGCTTGCTCATGAGTATGATTTGCTGAAATCTGTTTTTCAGTTTAACCCACCTGACAAAGACTTGAGCCTAGTTGAAGCACCATGACAATTTATTTCATTCATAAGCTATGATGAGTTTCTGAAGAAAAGAAAAAAAGGATGCATTCCTAGCTACAGAAAGTACATTTTTTTGGTCAGTGGGATTTCTTTGGCAGATACCTATAAAGTGAAAATATTTATTTTATACTTAATTAGTACTTTGTTTCTCCTTACAGTCATACTTTTGTTTATGAAATATCAGATTGGTTTTGGTGGGAGGGATTAGTTTTGTCTGTCCTGTAAAGCAGCTCTTGAATCTTGGCAGCTTCCTATCTGATGGGATAGTTTTCATTTTATTTTAAACCATCACTCAGTGTTTCTGTGTTGTGTGGTTTTTCTCCTAATGACTGATCATATTTTTCCTTTTCAGATGTACAGCTTTTATCTGAAGCTTCTGTTTGGCACAACTAAATTTTTTTTTTAAAAGAGCATAGTAAAAGAAAAAAAAGGAACAATAGCAGCATACCAACATTACAAACAAATAAAACAAGGCAAGAACATTAAAAGTGATACAGGGTTTCAAAACAAAATGATAGGAATTAACAGTGGCTGTTATATTACATATTATTATCTTCAACTATGTTGCTCAAATTACCAAATGTAAGAATGGAAGATTGTTCAAACCATTAAAGAGAATAAAACATAATTATTAGATAAAACATTAGAGATAATACAGAGTTTCACTAGACAAGATAGTAGGAATTCACCAATGGTTATTTCATTGCATATTGTTGTCTTCAAATCAGTTGCTGAGATTACCAGATATAAACATGCAAAATTAGTCAGAATATAAAAAATTTTAAGCATTATCTGTTCCTTGCAATACATCATCAGACATCAGCAGTAGTTATCCCAGCTATTCTTCTATGTACATATATATTGCCTTCCTTCTGTTTTCTTCTTTCCCTCATCCCAGTTGTTCCTTCCTTTGAGCAATTTCTTTCCCTTTCATATCATCTATTGTACATTCTGAGTTTTACCTCCTCTACAACTAAATTTTTTTGAAGATTATCTTACTCTGGTGATGGGTGAGGATTTGTTGCTTCCTTCTAAATTTTTAAGCTCACATTTGTTCCCTGATTTCTCCAGCAGAGTTTGGAAAATCAAGAAAGTAGATTTGAAAGTTAGTTTATGCATTGATCTGGGAACTAAAAGTAACTTGGAACTAGACTTGGAAAAGCCAGAAAGGAACCCTGTGTCCCAAGGCCCTGAACAGGCAGGCAAGGGAAAAGGAGGCTTAGAGAAGTGGGCTGTGATTTTTCCAAGCCCGACGTACAGTGAGTGGTGAACTTGCCCCAAATCTAAGCTTACCAGCCCAGTGAACCATGAAATGTTCTAGTTCTGATGAGAATGCAAAAATTCATCGCATGTTAATTGCAACAAATCACAGGCTTTGGAGAGGATTCACAGAAAGGTGAGTATAGAAACCTTGTAGTTACTCTACATAAAGTCAAAACTGTAGGCTAAAGCTAGGAACCAGAGGAGACTGATTCATCTACCCAATATGTAATCCCAAGAATAAAAGGCTGCATGAGTATTTTTAGTAGTATTGATAGACAAGAACACCAGGGACTCATGTTATCAACTGCCAGTATTGGGTAATGTCCATCTTTTCTCCCTCAGGGTATGTTACTAGAACCACTAACATGCAGTTGGATACAGTGAAGAGTTTGACCTCTAGGATCCAGGGGGTAGGGTCAGAAAATGATAGAAGAGAAAGCAGGGTGAATCACATGTGTGTGCCTGTGTGTGTGTGTGTGTGTGTGTGTGTGTGTGTGTGTGAGAGAGAGAGAGAGAGAGAGAGACAGAGAGACAGAGAGACAGAGAGACAGAGAGAGAAAGTGTGTGTAAAACCATTAACTAGGCGAGTATTATGTCCTAATCTCTCAGTAGATGCCCTCTGTGCAGAGGCCTTATTCCAGACCCCAGAAAGCTCTCTGAGATTTCACCCTCATTTTATGAATGGTCTTAACTTTGGAAAGAAGAAAGAACTGACTTCAAAACAGGGAAAATAGAAAGTTAGACATACTACTGTAACACCAAAAATTTAGGGTTGAATCATTTTCCAGGCAAAAATTTCAACGTATTAAACATATAGTATTAAAACAGTAGCTAACTCTCAAGATCTTCGGTTATTAGTTGATCTTACCATCTGATATTTCAGCTTTGGAGGAGGAAGGTGGGAGGAAGTTTTCTGGATGTTATACTATAGAGGCTTAAAATTATTACAATTACTTTATATTTCCAACATTAAATTATAAAACTCCATTTCCCCTTGTAAAGGCAGAAGTTAACTAGATTATATTTGTAGTACCTGAACTTTAAATGTCATTTCCATACATACACGCTCTAACTCATGGTACCATATACTTAAGTCCCTGTAGCTTAAAAGCTTCATTTTTTAAATTTAGTTTTACTTTTTCTGATTTAATAAGTGGATGAGAGATAAACGGTTTGTGAATATACTCTCACACAAATGGTGAATACTACAGTCCACTCTTTTGAAAGAGTCACCATTTTGCCTGCTAACCTGTTTAGAATATTAAATTTCATGGAAAAATATATTTCATAGGTTATAAAAGGGAAAATGTGAGCTTCTCCAAATTACCACATTCAGATGGGAACTCAAATTATTAAGACGTTTATTGATTGATGTAATGCAGAAGATTGGAAGACTTCTAAATTCTTTGAGCCAAACTTTACATTCATTACAAGAAATCTTATATCTTTAAGCAAATCATTCCCTAAAACCTCTAATATCCCTTCCTGAACTTCCTTTGTTCAGAAAATAAAATGGTTTAAAGTATGCACAGTGGCCTTAAAGTTGGCCAGTGTTTTAAAGAAGCTTTTGGGCTGAACAGAGGTTCTGCACACACCTACCTTTCTCTGGCTTGGATTATTTAGGGAACATTTCAAAAACCCAGTCACAACCCTGTTTCCTTCAAGACCAGTCTGCCTTTCTCAGACAGGATTCTCTCTGTCCCCTCTGAGTACTTTCTGGGTCAGTGTAGGGACTGCAAAGTAATTTAACACCAGACTAAGCCAAACATAATTGGAGAAAGGGAGCTGCCAGGGAGCAATCAGATGCACTGCATTCCAAAATCAAGGCTCTTCCAAGTGCTGGGTGGACCATCATATGCGGCCGCAAGGCTCAGAGCTGCCTGTGACCTGAGCTCCAGTTGGATGCTTTCCCTGCCTCCGACCCATACACTTGGACCCACAAGCCCTTCGAGTCGGAGAGAGCTGAGCTCAGCTCTAACTAATCACACATGTGCGTTAGGCGCGAACCCACACCAACTCACCAAGTAAGGGCACGTCAGCTTTGATCCTAGAAGTCGTTGGGGCAGAAGCCTTCCGGTGTCTGTCACATCCAGGCACTGCTCTGCCCCAGTTTCTGGTGCGATGTGGTCCTTTGCCTTGGGAGCCTGCTGGCTCCTGGCAGCTCTGGAAGTAGCCCTCCCCTGAGACACCGCCGGGGTTTGCAAATGAGGAGGAGGGATGTCTCAATCTGAAGGTGTAGCAACTCCAGAAAGGAGCTTGGAGGTTTAAAAACAGGACAGTAAAAAGCTTTTATGGCCTAGAGGAAAAAGCAGATGCAGGAGAAAGTACTTTAACTACTACCAAACCCGCGTACTCAAGGTGAAACATTGTGCAGGTTAGATTCTTTCCCGGGCAGAAGGAAGAACATCTGTCTCACCTGTCCTGTCTGTCCTGTCCCTGGGCCAACAGCAGCAGCAGGAGCAAGTGTACCGGCTCCGCAGCTCCCCACCTGTTCAGGGACAACTCCTTTATTGCAAAACTCGCTTGGGCATTGAGATATGCACCTAGCAGGGAGGAGCTACCAACTCTCCCCTGGGAAGAGGTGAGGCGGCATCTCTGTGCCTGTAGACAGTGCAACAAGCGCCTCTTGGGCAAGAACTTGATTAGCTGCAAGGCGCTGCTGAGCAGGCTGGGGCCCTTTGCTCAGTCAGGCGCCCTCCTTTCTCCCCGGTTGGCTGGAGTAAACAGCAGTTGCCTGAGAGCACGGGCCTTTCTCAAAGCACTTGGTTGCCCAGTGATTTGACTCACAACACACATCCTTTAAAGCAACAAAAGGGAAAGGCCAGGGAGGGCAGCGCGCCAGGGATCGTGGCTCGGCGGCAGGCGTGCACTTGGGAGTACTCACTGCGGGAGAGCTTACGGCACGGTTCCAGGTCCCAACACCCCCAGGGGTCCCACTGTGTGAATGGGGAGTCTTGAGGGGAGAAGCGAGGCCCAGCAGAGACACAGGTGCCCTCTGTGCTGTGCCCACCACCGCCCTCCCCAGGGAGGCTCAGAGGCAGCTGCGACCTGTTGCTTCTTGCCCAAAGGACACAGAGCTGTGAGACTCAGAGAGAAACAAAAGAGCTGATGCAGAGAGCAGGGGAGAAGCCAGAGCCCAAATCTGGGGCCTTGCTCAGAACAGCCCCGTTTTCTAGAACTGCAGAGTCCCCTCCCTCAAAGAGGCTGGGTCAGCTTCTTTCGCAGTAAAATGTAAACAGGGATCCTGCCTCTGGTCACCTCCTGCACTTCCCTTCCTTCCCCAGGTCTCCAGGGGGATTACTGAAACCCCGTTTCCAGGGGCCAGAGCAGCAGGTCCTCTTGGAAGATGGTTTGTAGGTGGCCCGGGGACACCAGGGTGGCCAGTATTTTAAACCCGAGTTGTAGGTGAGCCAGGAGTAGTAATTAATTAATTCGTGACAAATCAGAAATACAGACAGCTATTTCTCATCTGACATCTCATGCTTCAGCAACGACTTCTGGAATAAGTGGGGTAAGTTCTGCTGCAATCTTTAGTGATCTGTATGTAGGCATGGTTATTAACTGTTGTCACCCTTATAATAGATGTTCCGAGTTTCACTCTGTCTACATGAAGCTTTGTACCTTTGAGCAACACCTTCCCAGCCTCCCACCCCATTCTCCAGCCCCTGAAAATCACCGCTCTATTCTGCTTCTATGAGTTTGACATTTTTAGATTCCACAAGTAAGTGAGAACATGGGATATTTGTCTCTCTGTGTCGGACTAATTTCATTCAGCACAATGTTCCCCAAGTTCATCCAGGCTGTCACAAGTGAGGATTTCTTCCTTTTTGAAGGTTGAATAGGATTCCTGTGTGTGTGTGTGAGACATTTT